ACCCTTTGTTGTCCAAGCCATTTTTGCATACATGTGAAAAAAAAAAAAATCATTCTAGGCCTGAAGATTAGTTAAAACCTAACATTATTAGACCTCGGGGGAATAAAATGGTGGCGGTTTCCATTCTTTATGCCACATAAGTGCAATGGTTTATCAGGCCCAAATGTAAAAAAATACACAAATGCAATATATTACACTGTTGCGTAATATATAAAGCATGAGGTTGCACAGAAGAAATAGATACCCAACATATCAAGCCTTAAAACTCTGCATGCCCATGAAACACTTCTGTTCCCAAAATTGTACACAGACACTTTAAAAGCATCCTTTTAAAAGGCAACCATGAATGATGACCCTGAAATATTTGCTCTCACTCTGTCATGCGTGGCAATATGTGCAGCACTATCAACATTTTCATATACAGGTGCCTGGGGACGTGTTTTTGCATGCGCGTGTATGTGTGCGCATGTGGGGGAAGGGGGGTGTTAAATGCTTGGGTGCACCTTTAATTTTTTTGTTTACGCTTTGTTTCCACTTAATTTTATTGCTATCACACAGGGGACCAGTAGTGGGGAGGTAGGCTTGACGAGTTGCACATTTCAGGAGTCTATGGACAGAGTCCTGTACAGCCACCAGATTGCTTCCATCTGAAAGCGTGAGAGTCAACTTGTGAAGTTTACATGCATTTGTATCTGCTGGAAGCCTCCTGTCTCATCTCTTGCATGTATCTCATGTCAGTACATATGTGTAAGGCACTATGGTTAAAGCACTGGACTGTGGAACCCTTGTGCAAAAAGCACTTCATCCGCATAGTCTTTAAGAGACAACACCTCCTTGAATGGACTCCTGATACTATTATCAAGGATGCTGCTGCTGACAAAAGCAACCATCTTTCTCATCAGAAGATGTCTAAGGAACAGACTGCTAAGTTTTCTTACTCTCTGAATGTTAAGAAATGACCCTTTAATTTCTCCCCTTCCCTGACCTCCTCTCCAAGCCCCCCCCCCCCAGGCTTGTCTTCCAGTCTAACTTCACAGACTGGAACTCAAGAGTCTACCAAAGCTAGCCCCCGTATCATATCTGCTGTGCTCTAGTGGCATCCTACTATGGGATACGTAGGAAAATGCCTGTTGAGGCAACAGTGGATACAGACTCTATGGGGTTTATTTACTAAAGCTGGAGAGTCCAAAATCAGACTCCCTTCTGCATAGAAACCAATCAGCTTCTAACCTCAGCTTGTTCAATGAAGCTTTGGCAATGAAACCTGGAAGCTGATTGGTTTCTATGCAGAAGGGAGTCTGATTTTGGACTCTCCAGCTTTAGTAAATAAACCCCTATAAGACAACATGGCTTTGACTGTTCAGCTGTTACAGAACTTTGGGTGAATCCTGAATCCAGAAATAATTACACAGACAGACTCATGGTTTGGAGTATTTGGGACCAGGCCTGGACACTGCTCAGGCCAGGGTACTCCTTCCACAGGACAATCTTTAGACTCTGAAGTCTTAGATTCGATCTGTACTGTCCAACAGCCACCTGTACACTTTGCATGGAAGATTTGGATCTGACGGTAGCCTGCTTCAAAGTTTTCCTTCCTGCCCAGTTTCACTTCAGACCACTAAAATTGAACATTCGGTTGTCAATCTAGTCCCTAGACAGACCAAATCATCTCTCACGAAGGGCCACTCTGATACGTGGCTCAGAAATCCGGTTCTGGAATCTGGAAATCCTTCCAGTCATTTGGAGGATCCTCTAGATGCATGCTAGCCTGTCAGACTGGGAAGGAGTCCTAGGCACCCTGTCAGTGCAGGGGACTTGGTCGTTATCAGAATCTCCCAAACAACATTCTTGAGCTTCAGGCAATTTGGCTGTCGCTGCAGTGTTGGACTATATTGCTAGAGAGTCATGTGATCTGTAGTTAGTTGGAGAACACCACAGCAGTTATATTCATCAACCATCAGTGAAGAACCAGAACTCTTGTAGCTGCATAAGCGGTATAGTGGATCCTATCCTAGGCAGAACTTCATGTTTTCTAGCCTTGCCCACCATGTACATGCCAGACAAGGGACAATTTGGCATACACAGTTCCTCAGCCAGCAGAGCATGGACTCGGGAATGGTTCCTACACCCATGCTCCAGGACACCAAATGTGAACCTCCTGGACAACTTTATCTCCAGGTACAGGGATCGTTTAGCACAAGTACATGAGGCTGCAAGATCAGTACACTCTGATATATGCCTTTCCTCCCCTAAAACAAATACCTTGCCTGCTTCAAAGGATCAAGATGGAGGGCATTTAGATGATCATCATTGCCCCAGACTGGCACAGGCGGTTGTGACTTGCTGACTAGGTAAGGCTTCCAGCAGATTCTCCATGGGCTATAAACAAGTCAAGGTCCTCCATCCCAAGGACCAATTTATCATCCTGCTTCACAGTCGCTGGCTTTAATGGCACGGTCTAGCTAAATCTGAGTTCTACAATGTTAAAGGCTAAGAAAGCTGTTTTCAGTAAACCAGACATAGAAGGCATACTTTACTTGGTGTTAATCTCAGGGCTTCCATCCTTTTAGTTTATCTGTGGGATGAATGAACCCTCATTCCTGCAGCTGGGTCTGGGCTAGCACTTAGCTCTCAGCATGATCCAAGGCTAGGCTTATGCCCTTTCTATCCTATTTCAGAGACTGTTGACCTCATGTTCTTTGAAGGAACCTTGGTACAGGGTGTCTCTCATGTACTTCCCCCGTGATTCTGTGGGAACTGACTCTGGTTCTCTTCGCTAAAGGAACGGTTGTTTGAACCCATTAGAAACATCCCTCGCTCTTTTCATCTAGATTAGAAGGTGGTATTCCTAGTTACCATCACCTCTGTGAGGCGAATATCTAACCTGGAAGTTTTATCCTGCAAGAAGCCCTTTCTGGTTTTACAAAAGAGACATGGTGGTGAGACCCAGGACTTCCTTATTGCCCAAGGTAGTTTCTGCTTTTTATCTCAATTAGGACATAATCTTTTGTCCCTCTGTCCAGCTCCAGTTCACACAAAGGAAATTTCCCTCCACTGTCTGGATGGGGTTCTGACAGTGGAACTCTCTCAGCCACTGCTTCTTTATGAAAGAGAGAGTCTCTCTTTTTCTTCTCCAAGCAATGTCAGAAGGCTTTTCCAGCTTCTTATTCCATTATGTCTAGCTCAGGCAGACCACCATCCAAGTTTATGGTCTCAAGGATCTTGTCAAGCCACACTCTACTAGATCTATAAGTACCTCCTGGACCTTTTGACATCAAGCACCTGCTTTCCAGATTTGCAAGGCTACCATCTGGTATTCTCTGCATACGTTCTCCAAGTTCTACTTGGTGGATATTTCTCTCTTATCTAATGCTATCTTTGCCATCAGGTCCTTCATTCAGCTCTTTGGGCAGCAGGCAGGATTAATTTGCTTTCACGGGCCTGCTGGCATTTTTTTGCTGTGTTGTCCACCCCTCACAGGTGGACTGCCTTTGGATGTCCAGAAAGTTAAAGACTCCCTGTTTCTCTCAATGGAGAATGGAAGTAAGATTTCTGTACTCATTGTCCATTGAGAAACACAGATCCCAGCTCTCTGGCTTTAGGTATCTTCATGCTCCTGGTATGGATTGTTACAAAACTGAGGCAGGTGGTAGAAGGGGTTATTCTTGGCTGGCCTACAATTTTTTGTTTTACAGTGTCCAAACCACCTGCAGGAAGCAGTATAACCTGAAGGTTGAAGAATTCCTGTGTTCCTCAATGGATTTTTACAGCAAGTACAAAAATTCTATTTTATTTGGACAGAGTGGGGGAAAGATTACAAAATGGTCAGGTTTTTATTACTGCTAGTGACCGTCACGGAGAGAGATTCAACCTAAATGTCCTAGGAACCTTTTCATTGGGACAGAAGGTAATAGGAGAGCCAAAAGTTTGCAATTTTTCCTGGAAAAGGAATAGAATGTAAATCATTCAAAGGAACACCTGTTCTGGTAACAATTGTTTAAAGCTCACTGCACACACTGCAATCTTCTTTAGATCTGCCAACAACTACATAGTACAAAGGCCTGTCTGACTAGATATATTTTATACAAAGTTCCGGTAAATCTAACGTTAATTGTACAAAAATGTATGGTCAGATTGTAATAGGTATGCTGTCTAGTAGAGGAGAGATTTCCTCATTTTAGAGAGATTTTAAAAAGGGAATTAACCAAGCCTTCTGCGCTTATATAATAAACAGCACATTAAAAGGCTGGCATGAGTGCTGTGCACCACATTAATTAAGCAAATAGACCTGTTTCGGGTCTGTTTGTACCACTCAAGCCAGTTTCTATTTCAGTGAAGGGTCTGCACCTAAAAAAAGAATTGCCGCAGTTTTCAATACAGGAAACTGCTGCAAATCCCCGCCAGATCAGACCTGGCATGCAGGATGTGAACTGTCTTCAGACAGCTCACAGCCTTCGCTAAACTTGTACGAGCAGAGCCTGCAGACTTAACAGACCCCCTCCTTCCTCCCACACCCACAGTGTACGATGGGCAGAGCAATCTGGAGCATCCAGCTAAACTGCTCAGTGCTTTGTCTGGCAAAAGAAAGAAAATTACAACAATAAAAATCATGCACAAAATCAAAATAGTATCATAAGAACTTCATGATAATTTATGTAAATGTATGGTTACTTTGTAACATGTTCTCATTCTCTGAGCCCACATAGTCTCCTTGTTTGTCTTTCTGCTCATATCCTATGGAAAGAATATTAAACACTGGGCATTCAATAATGCATTGTGTTGCAGAATAAACACAATGGTGTTCAGTAGCTTGAAGAAGCAACCAATCGCATAGCTCCATGTGGATTACTGGTTGCTGTTATTTACAGAACGTCTAGGCTCTATACACCTTTTATTATTTTAAGTCTTTTCTACTAGATTCAATCTTTAAACATAAAACTATTTGTCGTACTATAAAACCAAATTTTTATTTTGTAACCACATAGTAAAGGGCTGTTTACCATGGACGTGAGACTGCTGGAAGCTTTTCCCAGGAGCAAAATGGAAGTTTCCAGCCACCTAAAGGAAAGGAAAGTAAACAGAATATTTGTTTTTCCAATCAGTGCAGGTATTCACAGATTGTATTCTCATTACTAGACATACAAACACTGGGGTCCTCCAGATCTTATAAAGACCTCTGCTTATATGCATTACGTAGCAAGCTTGTGGCCACCTAAAAAGGCAAGTGAGCCCAAGATATGTCCTCCAGAGAAGCAGCAGATCACTCTTGAAGTTTCAATTGATACCTCTTGGAGCACTTAATGGCAAGAACACCCAAGCTGTTTTCAGTGCCAGCTAAGTAACAGTCAGCATTGGCACTACAGCCTCTATTAGACTGAGCCATAATCTAGAAAAGTCACTCAAGAATTCTGTGGAACCCATGGGTACCTCCAGAGGTTGCTATGGGTTCCTTGAGCTGAGGTTGATTGACCTTCTATCTAATGGTGCCTGCATAGTTTCAGGTCCAGAGCCAGTGGCATGACACCAATAATCTTTTTTAGCTGTCTGTAAAGGTGGAATTCTGGCCATCGCTGTAAGAGTGGCCTTTTTCCCATTGACCCCCGACAAATTCATTATAACTTATGTTTCCCTGAGACCTGAAAATAATTTCAAGGGTTCCCCTGTGGTAAAAATTAGAGTTGCACTGATCCTGCTGGGATGGTGGATGATGCTGGTCAATCAGAAGCCCTCTAGCCCGTTATGTTGACACTGCTAGTAGAGGAGAGAAAGCCAAAAGGGTTTCAAATCTTTGCACCGGTGAAGCAGCTTTTCAGTGTCTGACAGCAGAGGATTGGCAATCTTGTACATCAGGACCAGGGGGGGGGGGGGGGAGGGGAAGGGGTCCAGTGGATGGCTCGAACCAGTGGAGGCTGGGGGGAACAAAGCTAACGGAGAGGCAAAAGGAGTCAAAACCGCAGCCGCTGATGGGAACTGGAGCTTCTGGTGGAACCCGTCATGCAGGGTGGTCTTTTTGCAGTGCGATTTGAGCCTGTTCATTTTGTATCGGCTCAAATTGTACCACAAAGGTATCAGTACTCGGTATTGGCGAGTACTTGACTGAAAGTATCAGTACTCTTACTCGCCAGTGAAAAACTGGTATCGGTGCAACCTTAGTAAAGTTGTTGAGAAAGGCTTAGCTAGACAATAGACCATGACAAAACCACACAAGCCATACATATTTATTAGCGTGTCTGTAGACTTTTTTTTTTTTTCAGCTATGGATAATGTAGTGAAGGGTTAGAACCCCCTTTCAGTTTTGTTTTTGGTCACTAAAACAGTAAGTGAGGGGAATTTTCTAATAAGGACACTTGCTTTGTTAACTAGGATGGGTCTCATCTCACTTTGGGGGGGTTCATGTTTTGCCTTCTGGCAAAACATAAAAGGGACATCTCCCCGACAGAACAAAGAGGAAAAACTACATACATACAGTTACATGCTCAGTAAAGAAAGCATTACCTTATTGACTTCCAGGAATCCATACACCTCACAGCCCTCATTTTTCTGCTCTTGCATCTTCTGACTGAAACCCTCCCGTTTACACTGCTCTATGGAATCTGGTGTCTTGAATGCCCACCCCTTCCGACGATAGGCCTCCCGCACATCATCGCATGTATTACAACACCTGCAGAGGCCCAGAGGACATTAAAGTGGTACTATGGTCAAAATAAAAAAATTAAATATATGATGCAATCACTAGCATTACCACAGCAGTCCCCCCCACCATTACCATAAATTGTTTTACAGGATAATCCCACCAGTAGATCAGTTTTTTTGATCTCCTCCCACTTTCTGTTCACTTTAATAAGGAAGGGGCTGTCCTTTGAAATGCGTTACTGCCCTGTACCCACCCACCCCCAGTTTGCATCTAATGCCAGCTATGAGATAGGGAGCTGGTACTTCTGCTATACAGCTTTGCCACAGTTCCCTGCTAATGCCCTCTGCTTCCCACGCTTATCTAAAAACGTTTTATCTGTAAATTTACCGTGTGCTTCTGTTAAGGAACAAATGCCTTTATTCTAATGTGGATCCCGCACTCCTGTCTTTTGAGCTGCCTTGGATCATCCCTGATCCCCATCTGGAAGCTGCAGGATCCAGTTGTCTTGTGACTCTAGATTTACCTGTTTGGCCTCATTGGAATTTATCAATCTCATTGCTATTGGACATTGAAAGTTGGGACTTGTAGCGGGATGTGGTGGTTTGTGTAAATATATATTCACTTACTTTAATAAGGTGATCGTTCTACAGAGAAATTATATAGCAGTGTTGTCATCCTGTGCACATGGTAGTCTCAGACAGATATACAGTTTTAAATGGACTTTAAAGCGGAGCTAAAACCCATCAGTTTAACGGTTTTCCAAAACAGTTACATTCATGGGTGAAGGTGTACTGTGAATGATAACTGCCACAGTTGCTTGTGCGCTGAACTGGACTGTCAAGCCATCAAATGACTGGTATCATTCCTGATCACATGTGCAGCACCATGGAAACTGTAGATGAAACAGTGGCTAAGATGGCAGATTCCCTGGTTGTAAAGGATAGGACCGCTTAGTTCCACTTTAAGTAAGTGACAAATGGATTAAAGCCTGACTACAACTACACTAGTGAGGCAGTTACAGCAACCTTTAGAAAAGCCATATGAATAAACGCAAACTGTTGTGAGCACCACCCATAATGTCATATTGCTTGTTCCAACCCCGAACGGTCACTTAATGGCTGTGTGTTGAGTTATTTTGAGGGGACAGCAAATTTACATGTTATACAAGCTGTACACTGACTACGTCACATTGTAGCAAAGTGTTATTTTTTTCAGTGTTGTCCCATGAAAAGATAGAATCAAATATTTACAAAAATATGAGGGGTATACTCAGTTCTGGGAGATACTGTACATATTGTTGGAGGTCTTAACCCCATACAGTTACATACAAATATTTTTCACTAGAATAGTCATTTAAGCTTCAAACATCAATAAAGAAACAAATATTTGTCACTATAGTAGTCATTTAAGCTTCAAACATCAATAAAGAAACGACCTAAGAACCTTGTTCATCTCTGGATTACCTAATATCTTCAGTCTCTGCACCATAACAGCTTTCACAACGATCAGGATCTAAAGTTTTGGGATCAAACACTACATGCTCCTCTGATTTTCCTAGATCTGTAAAATATAATGCAAAATAAAACTGCTAAGTTATACAGAAAACACCATTTCCAAATTTAAACAAATGAAAGCACCCACCATAGACTACAAAATGTTGTATTTGAAGGACAGCTCAAGTTACAATCAGATTCTGTTTAGCTGCAACTCCAACAATACACATCACTCGCCCATAATTTAACATTTGGATTATGCACATTATATGGCTGAATGTTTGCAGACAACTCTCATATCATCAAGCAGGCATTTTCAGTGAAAGTTACTGTTAACACTATGGCATACAACCAGTATTGTGTTCTAGCAAGACTGTGGCCCTATGTACAAAGCCAGTTCCATAAAGGCATGGTTTGAGGAGTATGGTTACATAGGAACTTGAGTGCCCAGCACATAGTCACAGGGAGGGGTGAGGGTAACGCCATGATAATGTCCATGACTTTGAATTGCTTGTCCAACAAGGCCACATAGTTGTGATGGGCAGGTTTGGCTATTTAGATAATCATGCTCAATATCCTCTATTGCTTCCACTTCTATGTCTAGAACAAGCAAAAACATATTTTGCAGGACCATGTATCAGGCAAACACTCCTCATACATCTGGAGAGCCATGTTTTTGGTTTGAAACAATTTCAATTCAATGCTGGTTATATTAAATTCTTGCTGTACGTGGATCTTGTAATAAATCTGCCAAAAGTTTAATGAATTACTGCACTATAAGTTGCTTTTGTTCTTTATTCTGTATTTGAAATATCAGATGGGAGTTTCTTAAAGTTTTGGAGGTCTTTAACCACTTGCCGCCCGCCTGCTGTTTATAAATGGCAGGGCGGAAGGCACTCCAGGGGCGGGTTGCCATTCCTAAACGGCACCTGCCTTTTCTAGCTGTGCGTGCTCACCGCGATCCGGTGCCAGCTGTGTCCTGCGGACACAGTGAAACACCGATCGTCGGACGGGACCTCTGTACGAGGTCCCGATCGTGTGATCACTGATTGGCCAATCAGTGATCACATGCAAAGTAGTAAGCAAGATGTCACTTGTGACATCATTGCTTACTACGTGTGAAATCTGTGAATGATCACAGAGGTCACATGGTACAAGGCTATTCACAACAGCCTTGTACCATGTGACAAGGTGTGACCAATCACAGCTCACTCAGTATTTCTCAATGGCTGCAAGAATGCAGACAGAGAGAAAGAGAAATGATTGCTTTTACATCCTATATGGGTGTAAAAGCAATCACTGTAAAAAAAAAAAAAAAGAAAAAATCTTCATCACCCCCCACAAGTAGTACAGTGTCACCATGGTGACACTGTACTGCTAGGGTGACAGTATGTTAAAAAAAAAAAAAAAATAATAATATAAAAAAATAAAATAAAAATGTAAGAAAAATGTTTTAAAAATTATAATTTGGTTATAAACTAATTTGGCTTATTTTTCTTTTTACTAAAAATATAACGGAATACATTTTGGTCAAGATCTATGATGAAAGATTATTTATTTGCAAAATTTTGTAAGAAAAACACTTTTTTTTCAAAATGTTTGGACTTTTTCATTTACATAGCAAAAAAAAATCAAAATCACAGCGGTGAATAAATACCACCAAAATAAAGCTTTATCTGTCTCAAAAACATGGTAAAAAATTCATATGGGTACAGTATTGCATGACCGCGCAATTGTCATTCAAAGTGTGATAGCGCTGAAAGCTGAAAATTGCCCTGGACAGGAAGGGGGGTAAAAGTGTCCGGACAGGAAGTGGTTGAAGAGGAGGAACCATCCTATATCTGGGAAAGGATTTTTACTGAAGATTACCTGCCATACGGATTCCTTATCACACTGCGCCTATTGACCGGTGTTATACGGTCAAAGTGTCCAGTAAGGGGCTCTGAGTGTATGGTGACGGCTCATGAGATCAGAAACTTCTCTTGCAATTTCTTTCATTCATTTGAGGACTTATATGGACTTTTATTGCTGACATTTGTATGCTTTTTAGGAAATCAACCCTAATGTCAGCCTTGAAAAGTAATGTACTGCCAAAAGGAGACAAATATTTTTCAGACCTCACAAATTATTTGGGACCTCTGTGGAGAATGCTCCAGGCACTAGCTGAAAATGACTGAGGATTTTGAGGAGCACCTTCTCTTTAGGAAGATCGATAGATTGGATACTTATTTCACATAACTGGTTCCCTTGAAATGGATTTGATTTAAAAAGAGTAGCTCCGTTTTGTTAAGAAAAAAAAATATTCTCCTATGGGTGATCAATGTATATTGCAGGGATTTTAAAAAGCTTTGTTACAGATTCCTTCCTTTTGTTATAAATAAATAAATGTTTGTCTGTGTCCATGTGCAGAGTGAATCTGTATGGAAGTGGTATTATATTTATCAGTCAGCTGCTGCACCTGCAGGGCTCTAATGAAGAACGTAGCAGGGTCTGCATCCTTTTAGATGCGTTTTTCCCGTTGGGAGTGTCTTCCCAAAAATTACATTTTTTTTTGCAGGGGATGCCAAAAATCTGACTTGAAGCTTAGTGCAGACTTCTAGGAAAATCAGTAGGCCAATCACACAAGCAGGAAATTACACATCGGGGGGCATTCTGTATACCATCTGTGTACAGAAATCCTCCAGGTAGCCATATTGCCTTGCACTTTACAGAAAACTACAGCGCAGCAGACTGAAAGGGATAGATCATTTTTAATAACATTCAACTACAATATGACTTGTGTCGCAATTGTATATGCCAAATTCATTTTTTTATTTGAAAGTAATTGTAATTATTATTGTAATTATTTTTTTCCAATTAAATGTGCCCCCAGGCGGTCTATGCCATAATGTGCACATGAGGTCAATGTGGTCTGAGCAGTGTGTACACAGCTCAGGTTATGTTACAGCTGACAGGCATTTATGACATAAGAGACCACTAGGTTCTTTTCTGCTATAAAAGCTCTGCCTGTCAGCAGTTTTTTTTCAAACTATGACTTTAATACTACTTTAACCACTTGCCCTCCTGAGGATTTACCCCCCTTCCTGACCAGGCCATTTTTTGGGTTACGGCACTGCGTTACTTTAATTGACAATTGCGCGGTCATACAACGCTACACCAAAATTAAATTTACGTCCTTTTTTCCCATGAAGTGAGATTTCTTTCAGTGGTATTTGATCACCTGTGCAGTTTTTATTTTTTTGCACTATAAAAAAAAAAAAAAAAAAGACCAACAATTTTGAGAAAAAAAAAAAATATTTTTTACTTTTTGCTATTAAACATGTCCGGTAAGAAAAAAAAAAAAAAAATCAAATTTCATCATAAATTTACGCCAAAATGTATTCTGCTCCATGTCTTTGCTAAAAAAAAAATCCCAATACATGTAAATTAATTGGTTTACATGAACGTTATAGCGTTTACAAATGGCGGTATAGATAGTGGAATTTTTTTTTTCACTACTAGTAATGGTGGCAATCAGCGACTTATAGCGGGACTGCGGCAGACATTCTGACACTGATGGGAACTGATTTGGTGTCACTGACATACCCAGTGACACCAATACAGTGATCAGTGCTAAAAAAAAAACAAAAAAAAAAAAACACTGACACTGTACTAATGGCACTGGAAAGGAAGGGGTTAACATGTGGGGCGATCAAAGGGTTAACTGTATGCAGGGAGTGTTTTACTAGGGGCGGGGTGTGTGTGCCATCCACAGCAGTGTGTCCAAGCTGACAGGGAAGACTGTTAGTAAACAAAACAGTCCTCCTCCCCGTCGGAGATCCTCAGAAATCACCGGGCACCGGTGAGTAATTACCGGCTGGGGCCCAGCGATTGTCAGCCGTGGCCATGAATGGTGGTGTGGGTAGGGCGCGTGGGCGCCCCCTACCTGAAAATGCAAAATCATGTACATATATGTGATTTTGCGCATCCGTGCCACCCTGTAGCAGTATTTCTGCTATAGGGAGGACGGGAAGCGGTTAAAGATGGAAGCATAGAAATTCCTGTAAACACATACCATGCCTTTCTGCTTCTGACGATATTGCTCTCCCATCTTTTCCCAGTCGCCGTTTGAACAGATTGTGCTCGACATCCAATTGCTGCTCACCAGCTACATCCATGGCATCTATGCTCAAATCTACAAGGCAAATAATTATTTTGTAAAACAAAAAGCACAGAACAATGTTACATAGGAACATAGAGTGAAGACAAAGACCAAGCAGACAAGAAAGCCTGCCCCTTTTCTATATAGATTTTTTTTTGTTAACCTATTGTCTGACCAAAGTCAGTTTCCCAAACTTTGATCACAATTTACTTGACTAAACAATTATTCCATACCTCTCGCTGATTTAGTTTCACTTTGTTGCAGGGGCCTGATGTTTTCTGACCTTATGGCTAGGCTCCATCGACTGCCATTGTCTTTCCAATGAGAATGCTTTAACTGGTCACCAAGGCAGTCTCGCTGGACATAGACAAATCACTGGACTCAGTCAGAAAATTAGGAATCGCGTGACTCTTAACCCTGTGATGCCGATATAGCACAAATATGTGGCCTGGGCTTTTTTCTGTGGGGCCACATATTTGCGTACCTGTCTTTCTGCTGGGAGCGCACTCCCGGCACAAAGATCCACGGTGTCACTGAGAGCACCAGGCCCCGTTCTAACGATCAGGACCCGGGACTCCCGATTCCAGGTCACATCGCTGTGATAGCCTCTGATTGGCTAGAACAGTGATCAGTCACTGTACAACCTGGCCCCCCCTTTTTTTTTTTCTCACTGTGAATGGAGGAGAGAGATACCTTGTATATCTCTAACTCCTGGCATAGAGGGGAAAAAAAATGTTTGAAGAAAAAAAAAAAAAGAAAAAAGATAAATATATATTAAAGAGTAAAATAAAAAATAATGAAAAAATACCTAGATCAAGGTTTGATCTAGTTCAGTGCCAGGGTAAGTGTTTGGGTCAAGGGTCAAAAATTTGGATATCCGTGTCAGTGTTTTAGGTAAAACAAACAAAATGTGTACTATGGTTTCTGGGCTGTACTACGGGTACAAAGAACAAATAACATACACATATACGGTATCCCTGCAATCGTCAAGAGCTGGAGAATTTATTTTGTGTTGTTCTTTGGTGGTAGGTTATGGTAGTAACCAGGGGCGGACTGACCATTTGGAAACTCGGGCACTGCCCGAGGGCCCAGGGTCACTAGGGGGCCCCATGAGATGCCCCTGGTACCTTTTTCATAGGCTTTTTTGAGTTTGGGCAAGGACACAGGGGCCCATGATTTGTAAGTCCGCCCCTGGTAGTAACAAGAAACACACAGCTAAATTAAAAAAATATATTTTTTTCTACTATTTTGGGCCAGTTTTCCTTTGATAATAAAAAAAAAAAATCAGGAGAGATCCATTACCATTTACCACCAAATGAAAGCCCAATTTGTCCTGAAAAAAAACACAGTACAATTCACCTAGATGTACAAAGTAGTTATGATGATATGTACAGTTTTACTAACACATGTCAACATTGCACAATTGTGCTTAGGCATTTAGATTTGTTTTACCCTTGTTTATTTTTTTCGTTCAACCATAAGGTTGAGTGAGAAAAAAAAGAAAAATGGACTTGGTTCCCCCATCCACACATTTGTGGTACGTGGAGGAATCTTCCCACTGACCTTTTGTGTTTTGACAGTGAAGAGACTTCTCTGCCATCAGAATACATTGATCAGAGCTGCAGGCTATAGTCTGTGGTGCTGATTGAACAGGGAAAACCCGACAGGGTGGTTTTACAGAAATCAGTAGATTGACTTGGGTACAACCACAGCGCCCATACGTGGATCGATATTTGCCCAGTCCCTGCTGAACCGGCCGAGTTTTGAACCCATGTACGGCTGGTTTTACTCAAACTCCTTTTACGCTGTTAAGTTGAAGTGACCCTGAGCTCCAAAAAAAAAAAATTATAGTGTGTATATGTGGTTTTTTTTTAAGTGGCATTGTCACAAGAAAAGTATGGGGGCTGCCACTGTTTGCCCCCTGAAAAAAATCCTATTTGTAAGGCTATGTCTGCCTTAAATTGAATGGATAGGCAAAACGTTTTTTGTTTCGTGTTCAAGAGATTTATTTTCATTTCCCATGCCGGAGATTCACTAAGACGCCAGAGAAAATCTCAACAAGGTGAGGTGGATTCCCCTCTTGGGCAGCTGTCACATGAACAGGTTCCCCCACTAAAAGATTTACATTCACTTCTTGTTCTGGTGACGTTTTTAAAATGGATTTCCCCTTACTTTTGGTTTCAGTAATACTGGGGACACAGACAGCAATAATGATATGACAGATGTTACTAGCATCACCTATTCTAAGAAAAAAAAGTTTTCAGTCACAGACCCAGAACAGGAATAATGTAATCGAGTGTCAAAATCCTTATCTCCATGTTTGTTTTTGGTCATCTTCAATGTGACAGCTCGGGAACAAGCATTCACAGGCGAGTTCAGCAATGGCAGCATTCATGATCCCACCCAGAATCACTAATGCAAATCTTTTTATTTCAGCAAAACTTTCACAATTGAATAAAGCTTACTTACAAGCACAAGGCATATGTGGAAATACAATATCAATATTGATCTTTAACTTGTCTCCTCTAGTTTTATCAACAAATAGTTCAGGATACACCTAAGAAATATAAAAAAAAAAAAAAAAACACAGGAAGATTCAGTAAAGTCACAGATGCATTTCAGCAAACATCAGCCAAACAGTTTTTCATACACAATGAAGACACATTTCTCAGCCTGTTAATGGAAGTAGAAAAATACCAGATCTAGGAGCAAATTAAAGGAGGAGAAAAATAAAACCTGCCGTGTTAATGCTGACAGACTGCATCATGTAAGTCATTTTTTTTCTTGTGCCCATTTTTGTTCATTTTAAATGTCTGTTTATTTTTTTATGGGCCTCATTAAGGTAAGTGTCAAGAAATCTCCCGAAGATGACACTTGACTCAGTGACAACTGTTGCCTTCTCCAACTTTTTCAGAGATTTCCTCACGCTTCCTGTTGTGTCATCAGGTAGAAAGCGAGGGGAAGGATCCCCAACAAGGAAACACAGTAATAATGACTTCTCAGATGATCTTCCTCACTCTATCAAAACTCTAAACAAAAAATTACTGGTTCACCTTAAAATGCAAATACATTTATGTAGTGTCAATATATCTCCTAATCTGCACAGCGTTGTTTACTACTAAGCTAAAGAAGTGTTTTAAAAATTCCAAAAGTGAAGCATTAAAATCAGACTATAGAGAAAAACTGACCTATGCTTGTTACTAAACCCACAACTGTGGAACAGTCTGGGGTTAATAAAGCATGCTTGTTATACTCATAGTGGAATTTAAGGGGTTAAATCCTCTGCATTGTGTAAAAAGACTGTTTGATCCTGTCTTCTCTGATCCCCCCCCTTCTTCCACTGTCCCCGACTCATCTCCTGATAGAACAGAGCCTTGTGGGCAAGCTGCACAGGCTCAGTTTGGTGTGTATTGCTAGAGTTTCTTTTCTTGGGAGGGTGCGTGATCAGCACAGGGCCAATCAGCACTGTCCAGACAGAATGTCAGGGGTCGTGCAACTTCATAGGACAGTAAAAGGAGAATGAAAACTCCTCCTAAAAGCTTTAACAAGTGCTGCTGGACACTGATATATGTCACAAGACTACTATATACTGCTGCTGAGAAAAGGTATTTAGCAGTTTATATTTACTAAAATAATTGCATTTCCATTTGTGTGTACTGTGGGAGACCAGATATAGTGAATGCGGGGTCCCGGGGAGACCAGATATAGTGAATGCGGGGGGATCCGGGGAGACCAGATATAGTGAATGCGGGGTCCGGGGAGACCAGATATAGTGAATGCGGGGTCCGGGAGACCAGATATAGTGAATCCGGGGTCCGTGGAGACCAGATATAGTGAATGCGGGGTCCGTGGAGACCAGATATAGTGAAGGGGTCCGGGAGACCGGATATAGTGAATGCGGGGGGAGACCGGATATAGTGAATGCGGGGTCCGGGGAGACCGGATATAGTGAATGCTGGGGTCCGGGGAGACCGGATATTATAGTGAATGCAGGGTCCGGGGACCGGGATATAGTGAATGCAGGGTCCGGGGAGACCAGATATAGTGAATGCAGGGTCCGGGGAGACCAGGTATATAGTGAATGCAGGGGTCCGGGGAGACCAGGATATAGTGAATGCAGAGTCCGTGGAGACCAGGTATAGTGAATGCGGGGTCCGTGGAGACCAGATATAGTGAATGCGGGTGGGTCCGGGGAGACCAGATATAGTGAATGCGGGGTCCGGGGAGACCAGAATATAGTGAATGCGGGGTCCGGGGAGACCAGATATAGTGAATGCGGGGTCCGGGGAGACCAGGATATAGTGAATGCGGGGTCCGGGGAGACCAGATATAGTGAATGCGGGGTCCGGGGAGACCAGATATAGTGAAATGCGGGGTCCGGGGAGACCAGATATAGTGAATGCGGGGTCCGGGGAGACCAGATATAGTGAATGCGGGGTCCGGGGAGACCAGATATAGTGAATGCGGGGTCCGGGGAGACCAGATATAGTGAATGCGGGGTCCGGGGAGACCAGATATAGTGAATGCGGGGTCCGGGGAGACCAGATATAGTGAATGCGGGGTCCGGGGAGACCAGATATAGTGATGCGGGGTCCGGGGAGACCAGATATAGTGAATGCAGGGTCCGGGGAGACCAGGTATAGTGAATGCGGGGGTCCGGGGAGACCAAATATAGTGAATGCGGGGTCCGGGAGACCGGATATAGTGAATGCAGGGTCCGGGGAGACCGGATATAGTGAATGCAGGGTCCGGGGAGACCGGATATAGTGAATGCAGGGTCCGGGGAGACCGGATATAGTGAATGCAGGGTCCGGGGGAGACCGGATATAGTGAATGCAGGGTCCGGGGAGACCAGGATATAGTGAATGCAGGGTCCGGGGAGACCGGATATAGTGAATGCAGGGTCCGGGAGACCAGATATAGTGAATGCAGGGTCCCGGGGAGACCGGATATAGTGAATGCAGGGTCCGGGGAGACCGGATATAGTGAATGCAGGGTCCGGGGAGACCGGATATAGTGAATGCAGGGTCCGGGAGACCGATATAGTGAATGCAGGGTCCGGGGAGACCAGATATAGTGAATGCAGGGTCCGGGGAGACCAGATATAGTGAATGCAGGGTCCGGGGAGACCAATATAGTGAATGCAGGGTCCCGGGGGAGACCAGATATAGTGAATGCAGGGTCCGGGGAGACCAGATATAGTGAATGCAGGGTCCGGGGAGACCAGATATAGTGAATGCAGGGGTCCGGGGGAGACCAGATATAGTGAATGCAGGGTCCGGGGAGACCAGATATAGTGAATGCAGGGTCCGGGGAGACCAGATATAGTGAATGCAGGGTCCTGGGAGACCAGGTATAGTGAATGCAGGGTCCGTGGAGACCAGGTATAGTGAATGCAGGGTCCGGGGAGACCAGATATAGTGAATGCAGGGTCCGGGAGACCAGATATAGTGAATGCAGGGTCCGGGGAGACCAGGTATAGTGAATGCAGGTCAGGGTCCGGGGAGACCAGGGTAAATGTGAATGCAGGGTCCGGGAGACCAGATATAGTGAATGCAGGGTCCGTGGAGACCAGGTATAGTGAATGCAGGGTGTCCGGGAGACCAGATATAGTGAATGCAGGTCCGGGGAGACCAGATATAGTGAATGCAGGGTCCGGGGAGACCAGGTATAGTGAATGCAGGGTCCGGGGAGACCAGATATAGTGAATGCAGGGTCCGGGAGACCAGATATAGTGAATGCAGGGTCCGGGGAGACCAGGTATAGTGAATGCAATGCAGGGTCCGGGGGAGACCAGATATAGTGAATGCAGGGTCCGGGGATGGGGTCCGAGAGACCAGTATAGTGGAATGCAGGGTCCGGGGAGACCAGATATAGTGAATGCAGGGTCCGGGAGACCAGGTATAGTGAATGCAGGGTCCGGGGAGACCAGTGTATAGTGAATGCAGGGTCCGGGGAGACCAGGTATAGTGAATGCAGGGTCCGGGGAGACCAGGTATAGTGAATGCAGGGTCCGGGAGAGACAGGTATAAAGTGAAAGCAGGGTCCGGGGAGACCAGATATAGTGAATGCAGGGTCCGGGGAGACCAGGTATAGTGAATGCAGGGTCCGGGGAGACCAGGTATAGTGAATGCAGGGTCCGGGGGGACCAGGTATAGTGAATGCAGGGGTCCGGGAGACCAGATATATAGTGAATGCAGGGTCCGGGGAGACCAGGTATAGTGAATGCAGGGTCCGGGGAGACCAGGTATAGTGAATGCAGGGTCCGGGGAGACCAGGTATAGTGAATGCAGGGTCCGGGGAGACCAGGTATAGTGAATGCAGGGTCCGGGAGACCAGGAAATAGTGAATGCAGGGTCCGGGGAGACCAGGTATAGTGAATGCAGGGTCCGGGGAGACCAGGTATAGTGAATGCAGGGTCCGGGGAGACCAGGTATAGTGAATGCAGGGTCCGGGGGAGAGACCAGGTATAGTGAATGCAGGGTCCGGGGAGACCAGGTATATAGTGAATGCAGGGTCCGGGGAGACCAGGTATAGTGAATGCAGGGTCCGGGGAGACCAGGTATAGTGAATGCAGGGTCCGGGGGGAGACCAGGTATAGTGAATGCAGGGTCCGGGGAGACCAGGTTATAGTGAATGCAGGGTCCGGGGAGACCAGGTATAGTGAATGCAGGTCCGGGGAGACCAGGGTGAATGCAGGGTAGACCAGGTAATGTGAATGCAGGGTCCTGGGGAGACCAGGTATAGTGAATGCAGGGTCCGGGAGACCAGGTATAGTGAATGCAGGGTCCGGGGAGACCAGGTATAGTGAATGCAGGGTCCGGGGAGACCAGGTATAGTGAATGCAGGGTCCGGGGAGACCAGGTATAGTGAATGCAGGGTCCGGGGAGACCAGGTATAGTGAATGCAGGGTCCGGGGAGACCAGGTATAGTGAATGCAGGGTCCGGGGAGACCAGGTTATAGTGAATGCAGGGTCCGGGGAGGACCAGGTATCAGTGAATGCAGGGTCCGGGGAGACCAGGTATAGTGAATGCAGGGTCCGGGGAGTGACCAGGGAGAACCAGGTATAGTGAATGCAGGGACCGGGGAGACCAGGTGTGAGCAGGTCCGGGGAGACCAGGTATAGTGAATGCAGGGTCCGGGGAGACCAGGTATAGTGAATGCAGGGTCCGGGGAGACCAGGTATAGTGAATGCCAGGGTCCGGGGAGACCAGGTATAGTGAAAGCAGGGTCCGGGGGGTAGACCAGGTATAGTGAATGCAGGGTCCGGGGAGACCAGGTATAGTGAATGCAGGGTCCGGGGAGACACAGGAGCCTGAATGCATGGGTCCGGGGAGACCAGGTATAGTGAATGCAGGGTCCGGGGAGAAACCAGGTATAGTGAATGCAGGGTCCGGGAGACCAGGTATAGTGAATGCAGGGTCCGGGGAACCATCCTAAGTGAATGGCAGGTCCGGGGAGACCAGGTATAGTGAATGCAGGGTCCGGGGGTTTAGGTAACACTTTAAATGAGCACAAATAAAACGTTATTAATTTTGCACTATAGCCAACAGTGACAACCAGACTTGTCCCTGGAAAGGGACAGATTATAAAAAGCTTTAGGTTTGAGTTCTGGATGTGAGTCAATATTGACTGAAATCCTTCCAAGAACTTGCCCAACTCTTCAAATCAATCTTTGGGAAGCTCCCTGAATCCTAGGTCCCAGGATGTACACAGAGCCTAATCCTTACCCCCCTTGTAATTCAACTGTTAAATGGCAGAACTCCTTTAAGTGGAACTTTAGTCAGAAATCAGGTCCTGATAAAATCAGGCTGGCCGCTTTTGCAGGTAGAGCTATGTAAAACAATTAAAAATAAGTGCCTATACACTGGATCACCCTGCTCTACATGCTCAGTTGCTTTTTTTTGTCACTGTGCCGAAAAATCAGAACCCATAGGTTTGGGCTTCAGCAAAATTTAGTGCTACTCAGGTCTCCAGAAAAAAATAATTTACCAAACCTTGCCTCTGTATAAGCAGACCTATAAGGCTAGAGGGCGCCCGGGGAACATTTATAAAATTTGGGGACCCTGGCTAGATACAAAGGACACTACAGACTCTCTCCTTTTCTTGACAGCCAATTCTACACCAATAGCTCCCCCTTATTTGTGTATAGTCAAGACGGCCGTATTTATTACTTGGCCACCACAGGATACAACAGTACAGACAGGATACAGTTGATGACTTTTTTCAGGCACAGACCCTCCAGTTTTTATTGTGCTCACCCATGTTCTCGGCATAAACAATGACCCTTTTTTCTCTAAAGGTCAAGCTATTGTATGATTTGTAATTTGGTTATGTGTTAACTGGCACTATGCTATGTGTTCTTTGCCAAAATTCTGACTACACTCACCGTACAGGCAATTGATCCATGTCTACACTGATACATTGTACCTTTTCTTACAGTTTACCCAATATTGCCAAAATCTCATATCGGCATTGTTCTCCTGTATTCAGAATATTTCTATGTGAATGTACATTATTTGCATATACTCAATAAAACAAGTAAAAGAAAAAAATGATGACGCTCTCAGCCAGAAAAAAAAACAGGAACTATACTGGAGGCAATTTACAGCACACACTAATTTTAGTAACATAATTATTATTGTGGAATGTATGTTCTGTGCTAAATTACATTTGTTATCAAGTTGTTATGGGTAAAGTTCCGCTTTAATGGCCACTACAGCTCTGCCTTTTTACAGCTGAATGTTGGGTGGTGCATAAAGCTCAACTCTGGACACTTTTTTTTTAAAGTCCCCCCAGCAACAGGTAAAATAAAAAAGCAGCATTGACAGCAATACTCGTCACTTAGGCATTATTTCCTCAAACTAGTCACCACGAAAACTGCTCAGTCTCTTTGGGGCTGAATGACTGTCACTTTACCAGATGAAAGACCTACTGTGAGTTCAAGACATCTTAGATCCATCCACTAACAGGGTAATGATGCAAACATCCAGTGCCAAAGAAGAGGCGAACAGGAAAAAGCACCCTGCATGGCACAAGACCAACCTGAACACTTCTGAAAAAGTATTAAAGTCCAACTCCAGTACTCTCATCTTCTCCCCAAAGCTCAACCTCATGTACAATGCAGGGTTATTAACCCCGTTTTGAAAGTTGAGGAGGCGAGACTGTGAATGCAGCCATGAGCAGCTTACACAGGAAGCTGTGTGGGATCAGTCACACGGCTGGAAAGACCAAGCTGGATCTCACAATAAGGGAGCTATTTCTCCATATTCAGCAGCATCCCCAGATAGGAGAATTTGCAATGCGGAGGGGTGGGTGGTCATTGCAAAGGTAAATTGGGCTTTACAAAATGAAAAAAAAAAAATACACAACAGGGAGGGTGTTTCTTAGGGATTGCCTCATTTAGGGATTTCATCTCAACTTGAAGAAGTGTGGGCCTTGTGTATAGCCTGATTTACCTGAAGCTCTCCAAAAGGGACACAGCGATTGATCTGAAAGCTAACAGCTACTTGCAGGTACCATGTCAACACTGTCACCTTTCATACCCCATTAAAATTCACTTTAAAAGCGGAGCTCCACCCAAAAAAAGGAAGTTCTGCTTTAAACCTTTGTCCCCCGCTCCCCATTAGGGATTGACACCTTTGGGGAGCGGGGGGGGGGTTACCCGAATTTGACATGTCCCGCTCCCACTTCCCGCTGCAATCACCTAGGTGATCTTAAGCGGAAGTCTTCCAGCCCCCCTCGTAGTCTTCTGGGACCTGTCACGTGTCTGGGGTGCCATTCACAAGCGCAGCGTTTCTCACGCTGCGCAGTGGCCACTGAAGATCCCTGGGCGCCGGGGAGAGAAGACGGCTGGGGAAACCAGCGGTGGTGAGGACACTGCTGGACTGAGGGGCAGGTAAGTGTCTCTATTTTAAAAGTCCGCAGCTACAGTTTTTGTAGCTACTGACTTTTTTTTTTTCTTTTCCAGGTGGAACTCCGCTTTAAATGGTGTCTACACCAAAAAGCAAACTAATTGCAGATTACCAGTCCTAAGATGTAGTGGTTGCATACCAAGCCAAGCACGGAACAAAGAAAAAAAAAATATTGTTTATTTTGCCAGAAATCTAGTATCCTTTTGCCTTTACTGTGCAATGAACAGCATTCAACTTCCTAGTTTTATTGTAAACTACAAAGCACCCCCGTCCCCATGTTACAGGGGTAGGGAGGGGTGTTCTGTAGTCCTAACACAAGAGGACAATGATGCTCCTCCAAAGACAAAGCATAGCTAGTGATCCTTATCACCCAAGGACAAGGAAGTGTGTTGCAAGCAGAATCACCAAGTGTTATAAAAAAAGGAAAAAAGGTCTATAAAAAAGAAAAGTAATACAGCCACAATATCTAAGGACCAGTAAGGTGCAATACTTTACATTTTGTTCCTGGGTTTATATGCACTTTAAAATTGAGAGTTTATGCCCTACTGCATTTGAACAACTTGTATCCTGCTGTCTACAATGGAAAGTACACAGAATGTGCTCCTCTCAGGTTATTTTATGTTTATTCTGGAGAAAGGTCACATTATTTAAAATGGTTGTAAACCTTCACATATACCAAGTGAAAGTGCTTCTAAATGCTCAAGGTTTTTTTAACCTTCATGTATTCTATGCATGAAGGTAAAAAAACATTCTGTGTGCAGCGCCCCCCTTCTTCTAATCCTTGCCTAAGCCCCCTCCGATCCAGTGATGTCCTCGACAGCCTCTGCTGTTTGGGGTCTCTTCCTCCCCATTGGCTGTGACAGCAATGAGCCTATGAGGAAGAGAGCAGGGGGAATGCAAGCCGCGGCTCTGTGTCCTATGGACGCAAGGAGCAGCGGCTCAGGGACAAGCATGAAGATGTGCCCCCAGAACAAGCAGCTTTTCCTGGGGGCACTGCTTGGAGAGGAGGAGCCAAAAGCGCCGGTGGGGGGGGTTAAAAGAAAAAAAAAAAAAGACAACGCTTTAATGCAACTTTAAGTGACCGGCCTCAGATGATACCCAGAGGTGAAAAATCCTCCTACATAAGTTTTACTTGTTTATCTGTAGTCTTCTCTACATTCCTTCAAAAGGACCGAATTGTGATAAAATACTTCTTGGTCTGTCAGTATCACAGAGGAGGGGGGGGGAGAGCTGTCGTTACAGAACTTGTACATTGTGTGACAGCTGACTGGAGGGAATGGACACACTCCCCCTTCAAAATGCAGAGCTGTGTTGTGAGTAGATTAGCTGTGTGCTGAGCTCCCTCCCCCATCACAATGTTATCTCCTGTGTGGTGAAAATTTCTCAAAAATGACACATGCTGATAAAGATGCACCAGAGAGACAGGACACTCAGAGCTTTGGAAACAGACAAGTAAACATTACAGATATCTGTGCTTTGTTCAAATTCCATGACTGAAGTTTACAACCACTTTAAGTCACAGAAATATAAATGAAATGGCAGAATCAAAAATGAAAGCAGAGGACTTACCTCTTTAGTGAGAAAATACTGGAGCTCAGAGAAAAAACAAAATCAGCATTATAAGACCACTAATCACGGTAACTGGAAAGAAAGATGAAAAGATGAAAATTCAGTTAACAATGACAAATCAGTTCACATGTATGATACAATACCAACATTCAGACTCAATGCTTACAGAAAGTTATGACTTGGCCAACACATTTGAACTTGTAAATTAAAACTACGAGACCAAAACTCTGTTATTTATCCAAATGGCATCATTACCAAATGTACTGTTTATCTATTGCCAAAATCGATCCCGTTTGTGCCCCCATCAGGGAAGTCCTGCCTTCACTTTTGCCTGCAGAAATTTCTTGGCTTTCCCCGCTAAGCCCCCCGGCCACATCAAAGCCGATTTTGAAATTGTGCAACTTACAGTGAAGTCGCATGATTTCAAAATCGGGTGACCTGTAAGATTTCAGTTGCGATTTGCAAGACATCTCCTAGATTGTAAGCTCCAAGGATTAGGCCCTCCTATTTCTCTTGTATTCAACTGTATTGTTGCTGTATTGTCTCCCTTTATATTGTAAAGCGCTGAGAATACTGTTGGTGCTATATAAATCCTGTATAATAATAATAAATATATAAAATCCTGTATAATAATAATAATAATAATAACATCTGACACCAGGGTGGATTTCATTTAAATCAAACTGATTTAAATCACGATTTAAATCACTAGTCAGTAAGGCTTGATTTAAATCCTAGTTTTCTACATAAAGACTAATTCTTGCTGGTATAACTTTAATATGCAAGTAGATGAAGATTTTTAGAATAACAACTTTTCATATTAGTTTTTTTATCCCCAGTTTAATAGGTTAATCATTCATATTTGGACAACTTTTCTGTTGTACTTAGGAAGGAGAAAAATAATCATTACCTTAATAATAACAATTTAAATAGATTTATTCAACTGAAACAATAACATTCCAGCATATGTGATTTCCTTAAACATCCATGTTTGTTAACTAATTTGGCTAAACAAAATATATATATATTTTAAGAAACTTAGACTGTCAGCCCCTTCCTCCTCACACTTAGTTTCACTTTCTTCTTGTGCAGATCTATTCCACTCCAAACAATCAGAAAAATATTGTTTCTATTCTATTCACTGAACTTCTTGAAACTTAGCAGTGAAGGGGTTGATTCTGTATTCATAGGTTTGTAGAAGTTAGGATGAAGGTCTTTTTCTTAACTCTGTTCATGTTATAACATTTTTGCTGTGAAGAAGAGGCATGTGATCTCCGCTGAGTCAAATTCAGTTTTGAGAAGTGCAAAAGTACACCAAGCATCTGTGATAATATCTTGTAAACAGAGAAACTGCCCAATAATCGTACAAAAAACCTCTGGAAGAGCATGACATTGTGAATGGATTCATGGAATTTATGTACCAGAACAATTAAACATATACAGCCTTATTCTACATAATTAAAAAACTAATCTTTATTTCATGATGGAATAACCTTTGGATGGTAATATATTTTCCTCAAAAAGCATTTTATTCAAAAAAATCCAATTAAAATAAAACAAATCTGATTTAAATAAAAAAAAAATCAGATTTTTTTGATTTTTTTAAAAAAATCATTGATTTTTATCCACCCTGTCTGACACAGATGTCTATGCAATTCGCACCAAAAGTAGTGCCTGTACTACTTTAGAAACCAGTGTGGCTCCAACCAAGTCGGAACCGCATCAATATGACTGCTCTAATAGCGGACAATAGGGTGTGACTTGGTATACAATTTGCAAGTCGCAGAGCATGCCAAATCACACCCAATGTGACCGGGGACTTCGTTCTGATTATATACACACACATACAAAATCAAATTTATCACATGCAGCTCCAGGAAACATCTGGCTCCACAATCACATCCCAGGTGCTGACTCGGCTTGTCTCCACTAAAGCAATTGTACCAACAACATGAATGCTACACACTGAGATGCAAATATTATTCTTCCTTTTTTAAAATAGCCAGCGGGAACGGGTTCCATTCTGACATGTTTCACCCAAGCACTTTCTCTTTGAAAAGGTGCTGTGCCTAGCATGAAACATGTCAGAATAGAATCTGTTCCTGCTGACAATTTTAACAAGAGAAGAATATTATTTTGCTTCTTGGTGTGTGGCATTCCCGTTGCTTATATACACACAAACCTCAAGTATATGACAAGATTTCAAAACCTTGTGCTTAACCCAGGCATGTCCAAAGTCCGGCCCGCGGGCCATTTACGGCCCGGGGGTCGGTTTAATATGGCCCTCCAACAGCCCTCCCTGCTCTGTGTAACGTGGCCCTCCCTTCTATGGCAGACAGTCTGCTTGAGAGCAGAGGGCAGCGCGCTGGGAGCGACAGAGGGCGGTGACGTCAGGGCTTCCAGCGTGAAGTGTCTCTTCCCCTCCCGGCTGACGAGCAGAGACTTCAGCTCCAGCTACCTCCTCCGCGGGACTGCTGTATTTGGGGTGTGAGACAGACCGCCATTTCATGGGCTGGGATGCGGGGAGCTGGACAGAGGTAGGTAGGGTCCTGACCTAGCAGAATCTGTGACGCTGTGGAGTGGTGGAAGTGTGTGAGCTGCTACCAGAAAGTCTGACCAAATAACTCAGCTTACACCTGCCAAGGTCAAACAGAAGCAGAATAATGCAGAATTATGCTTGCTAAATATGAACAAGGAACAGATCTCCAAAATGTAATTCCTGCCATATTACTCTCATAAACGTATTTCCAGAAGGGCCACATTTTTACTCTGGCACTGCACCATTCACTCTTCCCCTTCTGGCCAATTTATAAAATGGCGACTATAAATAAAAAAAAAAAAGTTGACAGTGAGGGCTGCCGTTTCCAGGAAAGGTGGAAAGTGGATTTTTCTTTTTCACTGAAATACGGAATCACTGTGTTTGTCTGATATGTCAAGAGACTGTGGCCGTTTATAAAGAATTTAATGTCAAGAGAGACACTACCAGACGAGACATAGCACATTTCGACAAACTAACAGGGCGCGACACCGCAGTAAAAAGTTGAAGCAACTTGAAGCAGTTTTAATGTCACAACAGTGATTTTTCACAAGAGCCCGTGAGTCACATGAAAATGCCACAAAGGCAAGCTATGAGGTGGCAACGTTAATTGCTAAAAATTGCAAGTCTTTTGTTGAGGGTGAAATTTATTAAAGAGTGCATTATGAAAATGGTTGAGAATATCTGTCCCGAGAAGAAGCAAGAGTTTGCCAACATTTGCCTGGCTCGTAACACTGTAGCATGGAGAATTGAAGATATTTTCATCAGATATTAAGAGACAGTTGATGTCCAAAGGACAGGATTTTGACTTCTTTTCAATAGCCTGTGATGAAAGCACAGACCTATCTGACACAGCTCAGTTGCTGATTTTTTTGAGAGGGGGTGGATGATGAAATAAATGTGACTGAAGAGCTACTTGACCCCAAAGCACCTTACGGATCAAACAAGAGGAAAAGATTTATTTGTTGTTGTTTAGTTCCGCAATAGATGACATGAAACTGCCCTGGAACAAAGTTACTGGGATTATTACTGATGGGGCACCTGCTATGGTTGGTGAAAGAAGTGGATTATCAACCCTAATCTGTAACAAGGTGATTGAAGAAGGAGGCAAAGCTATTAAACTCCATTGTATCATTCATCAACAAGTTCTCTGTGCTAAATATCTCAAATATGATCATGTTATGAAACCGGTTGTAAAGAATATTAATTTTATTCGCGCTAAAGCTCTGTGCCACCGCCAGTTTTAAACACTTTCTACTGGACATCCAGGCTGAATATGAAGATGTTTTATATCACAACGATGTAAGATGGCTCAGTCGAGGGTCTGCGCTGCAGCGTTTTTACTCTCTCAGAAAGGAAATCAAAGAATTCCTGGAAACAAAGGGGCAACCGATGCGAGAACTATCTGATACTATTTGGCCGGCTGATTTGGGGTTTTTAGTTGACATAACAAAGCATCTGAATGTACTAAACACGAGTCTTCAGGGAAAAGATGCAGTATGGTAAACCAGCTTTATTCACACCTCAAGGCCTTTGAAACAAAGCTGCAACTTTTCCAAAGGCATTTGTCACAAACACAGCCCAATACCATACATTTTTCAGCGTTGCAGGAAGTAATGAACAGTTTTTCACAGGACAATATCAGTGCGCAAATGAGCAGGTATGCAGCAGACATCGCATCTCTGGCTGAAGAGTTTAAACTGCGCTTTCAAGATTTTGCAGCTATTGAAAATGAGATCAGCCTTTTCTCCTCTCCATTCTCTGTTGACCCGATGATGCTCCAGATCAGCTGCAGCTTGAGCTCATTGAGCTGCATTGTGACAGCGAGTTACGCAGTCGTCACCGACAGCTCTCTCTTGTGAACTTTTACTGCCAACTGGATAAGGGCAGGTTTCAAGAGATTCAGACATTGGCTAAGAAAATGCTGAGCTTGTTTGGCTCAACATATTTGTGTGAGAAGACATTCTCTGCTATGAACTTTAACAAGAACCGTGTGAGGACAAGACTAAGTGACTCTCACCTGCGTGACATTTTGCGCATCAAAACCACTGCCTTTGTACCTGATCTAACCGATTTGCTGCAGTCCAGATCTCAGTTTCAGCCTTCACATTAGTGCAGGTAAGTTTTTTTTTTAATTTATTTTCAATACATTGTGAAAACTCAGCTGTCAGTTGATCTTAATGTTATGAAATGAAAAGTATGTCGTTTGCAATTACTTGGCATAAAAATAATTTATTTGCATTTAATTGTAATGGTTCAAAGAATGTTCGGAAAAATGTTCGGCCCTCCACCATGTTCACTTCATCCAATCTGGCCCTCTTTGAAAAAAGTTTGGACACCCCTGGCTTAACTGATGCTCTTTAGACTGCCAGGAAAAATATTTAAACTAATTTGGGTAACAAATAGTTTGGTATAATAAAGTGTATTGCACCTCCTGGATCACTGAGTTTTCTTTATTATTTACACTATTATTGAAGGTATATAGTACAGCTTTTTTTTTATTTTGAACATGTGACCAGAAGCAGAGAACTAGAAG